CAACATGTTTTTCCCTGATAATTTAGTGGCTACTTTTCAGAGCATTAAATTTGGTTTTAACTCTTGACTTTTCATTAAGATAAGTAAATGATTACAAATAAGTGGATTAAGGAATAGCATACATTCTTTGCATTTTTCTCCAAACTGTACTAGATGAATCACACCTTTAACTCTGGTCTCCAAACACTTCACAATTTATATCAAATTGTCGAAACAAGCATAAATCAAATTCACACTCATTTACCAGCCAGAGACAAGACCTCGACGCCCTCTAGTGGCATAAATGCCACGTTCCATGCTATGGGGTTGACACTCCCAGATTCCAGTGGGTATGATGAAGTGATAGGAGCTCTTATTAAGGAGAGAATAAAACTCATCTCTCTGACAATTCTACTCCCTCCTTAATTCACTCAATAAATAGTTGAACTTGTTTTGCAAAAATAGGTTAAAATGAACTATGACCGAGAAACCAAGAAAAAAAATATTTGAGGCAACGTGGTCATAAATAAAATATCAAGCGACAGCATTACCACTGTGCAGGCTTAGTCTCTTGTCTTCCAAGCATCTGTCTGTCTTCACTGCCTACTCTGGGCTACATTCCAACTCCCTACTGCTGAACTGACAAGGAATTAAATCTGTTTTTTCATTTAAAAAGAAAAAAGTTTTATGCATTGTGACACAGAGGGTTAAGCCACTGTCTGCAATGCTGACATTCCACATGAGTGCTGGTTCAAACCCCCGCTGCTCCGTTTCCAACCCAGCTCCCTGCTAATGCGCCTGGGAAGGCAGCGGAAGATGGCCGAAGTCTTTGGGCCCTTGTCACCCATGTGGGAGACTTCCTGGCTTCTGGATTCCGCCTGGCCCAGACCTGGCTGTTGTGGCCATTTGGGGTGCGAAGCAGAGGATGATAGAATCTCTTTCTCTCTCTCTCTCTCTCTCTCTCTCTCTCTCTCTCTCTCCCCCCCCCTTCTCTGTCTCCCTCTCTTCCTTTCTCCCTCTCTCTTTCTCCCTTTGTAACTTTGCCTTTCAATTAAATAAATAAATCTTTTTAAATGAATAAACAGTTTTATATTTTCTTTAGTTTCATTTTTCCAAATTTATTACTTTCCTTAAATATTACTTCATTCACTTATCCAAGAAACAACAAAATTACTTGCTTTTCTTTCCCTGAGAATGTGGGCTGTCAGCCTCTCTCACCTACAGGTAATTGAACTTCTGTTCCGGAGCTTGATGAGAGACGGCAGAGTGTAGTGATTAAGAGCCCAGAGGCTGTAGCCAGCAGACCTGGCTTCAAAGCCCAGAAGACCCATCTACTGTCCCTGTGATGAGCGAGTCATTTACATCTGCTCAGTTTTCTCATCATAAATTCAGAACAATAGTAACAATAGGCATAGGGCATAAATAAGGAAATGCACGGGAAGGAAGTAGAACCATGCCTAACACACAGTAAGCACCCAGCAACTGTCACTTATATTACTACTTCATTAGAGAGAAGAGAAAGCAGACAGACACCATGAATTAATTAATCCAACATCTCTTTCCAAAACCAAATGCAGCTGCTCTTGAGTCAGGCCTCTACCATTCCTGGTTTAAATGATTGCAATGGCCTCCCAATTTGGTCTATCAGCAGCAGTCTGTCCCTGTTCCAGTCTCTGTCATCAGGTTTATTTTCCTACAAAGGATGTTGACATTTTTGGTTCAGGTCACGATGAACTAACCTTCTTGCTGAAAACCACTACACAGGCTAACACATAAAACAGCTATGCGGAGGACCTGGAAAGTACCCAATTTGAGCAGGATGAGGAAAGATGGCTCCAATCCCTGAGAGAGAAGCAGCCCAGGAGGTGAGTCCCACGCACTATGGCTTGCCCAGCTGAGGGAACTTTCAGATTCCCGAAACAAGGCAAACAGGCCCAAGCAGCAATCCTAATATGCTGAGGAGGAACAGACTGGAGCCGAGTGCTGCCCAAGCCGTGAGGGCTTGAGAGGAACAGAGGAGAGAGCAGGGAATCAAGGTGAAGGGAGAGGAAAACCTGTCCGCGTCTACTGCCCTTTCAGGCCACTGGCTAACTATGCCCAGGGGGTGATGCCACAAAACCCAACAGAAAATAAGATCTAGGAGAACAAGTTGAGCAAAAAGTGTGATTAAGCAGCCATCCATGCTGCAAACACAGAAATTTGAGTTCAAGACCAGGCATGATGCAGAGGGTGGGGGTGGCGTGATGGCAGGATTTCAGTTGAGAAATGTCATAGGCGTAAGGACAAATCCCAAACAGAAAAGCCTTAATAGTGAGTAAAACCATCCCTCAAAAGAATCCAAATGATCCTCCTGTACTCGTATTTTATCTCCCTGTGGAAAGAAAGCCTTATTTGTAAGAATATAACAGGATTCATAGACTCTCCAATTTTTTTTTAATCTATAGTATCTGGCTAAAAAATAGACCCAACTAACGAAAAGCCGCAATTTTAAGAGGATGACGAGAGATAATTAAGATACTGAATTCATAAAGGAGGGGTTTGACTATAAAGATAATCATTGTGTTCAATAAAATCAGGGAAAATATTGATAATTTCAACAAGACAGTAAACTATGTCTAGCAGAGGGAAAAAGGAAATACAGAAGACGGGAGTAGACCTGCCACAGCAGTGCAGATCACCACCTGGAAACTGGGATCTCCTATCACAGTGCCCATGTTCAGGTACCATCTCCACTTCTGATTCCAGCTTTCTGCTAATGCACACCTGGGATGCCGCTGGTGATGGCTCAGGTCCCTGGGTTCCTGGCATCTTTGTGGAAAACTTGGAATGAGCTCCAGACTCCTGGTTTACACCTGGCTCGCACCTGGCTCAGCTGAGCTGTTGTAGGCATTTTGGGAGTGAACCAGTGGATGGAAGATTCCCTCTCTCTCTTTCAAATAAATAAAATTTTTTGAAAAAAAGAAAATACAAAGGCTGTGTGGGAGACATATAAAGAACAGTGATAAAGTCTAACATGTTTGTAAATGGAATCTTAGAAATAGAGAGGATGTGATAGTTCAAAAACAACATTTGAAGACACACCAACTAAAAATGTTGCAAAGTTACTTAAAGACATCAAACCACAAAATCAAGACACTGAGACTTGTGTAGAATAAAGCATAAAGAAAACCACACCTGAGGACATCAAATAGTTAAGTTGCTAATAAACCAAGACAAACAGACAAATCTTAAAAGCGTTTATGGTGGAGGTGGGGTGAGAAACACCACACATGACCACCAAAGAGGCATGGAAATCAGAACATAATGGAATGACCTCAAAATGATCCATGAAATGAAAGCCTTCCTACCTTCCCAACTAGAATTCTATACCTAGTAAAAATATGATTCAGAAAGAAGGCAAAAATTGAGGCCTTTTCAGACAAACAAAAGCTGAGAGCTTTTATCACTCGCAGATCTTCACCACAACAAAAACTAAAGCGTTCTTCAGGCTGAAAAACATGCCTCTGGGAGGGAGCACAGACCTGCCTAAAGGGATGAAGGGTACCAGAAAGGACAACATGTTATGCTCAATTGGATATGGAGTACTTTATAAAGATTACGTTTTATTGGCATTTACGTAAATATAGAAGTAAAATATAGACAGTAGTACAAGAGATGAGAGACAAGTGGAGAAAAACTATTGTTAAAGTCTTCCAATTATAGGAAGTTGCCAAAAGTAGTTGAAGATGAGCTGTAATAATTTGAAGTTACATGTTGTATTCTACTGGTGCTTAACTAACCACCCCAAAACGGACTAGTCTAAAACACTGCTGCATTTATTTTGCTCAAGGATCTATAATTTAGGGAGGACTCAATGCGGACAGTTTGTCTCTACCCTACCTAGCAGCAGCTAGGATGGATCAAAGGCTGGGTGCTGGAACCCTGAAAGGTTAGCTTGCTAGGGGCTGATAGGGTGCACAGGGGAAGCCACTGCTTGCAATCTCAGCATCGCATTGCTGGTTTGAATCCCAGGTGCTCTGCTTCCAATCCAGCTTGATACTGTGCCTGAGGAGGCAATGGAGAATGTCCCAAGTACTTGGATCTCTGCTACCCATGTGGAAGACCAGGATGGAGTTCCTGGCTCCGGGCTTCCCCCTGGCCTAGTCCTGGCTGTTGCAGCCATTTGGGGGAGTGAACCAGAGGATGAAAGTCTCTCCCCACCTCTGTCTTTTAGGCTGAGAAATCATGGATCAAGGCACCAGCATTTGATCTGGGGAAGGCCTTGTTACTGCTTTCTCCCATAAGAAGAAAGTAGAAGGGTAAGAGTCACCACATAAAATCAAAAAATAAAAGGAACTTGGGATGGGCATTTGGTAGTTAAGACACTACCTGGGACACCCATATTCTATATCAGAGTTTTAGAGACCAAGTCCTGGCTCCACTTCAATTTCCAGCTTCTTGTTAATGCACACTCCTGGAGGCAGCAGGTGATGACTCAAGTTCTTAGGTCCCTGCCACCATGTGGGAGACCTGGATTGAGTTCAGGTCTCAATGCCTGTTGTTGTAGACACTTGGATAATGAGCCAGTGGATAGATTTCTCTATGTCTATGTCTTCCTGCTTTTCAAATAAATAAAAATAAAATTTAAAAATAAAGAAATAAGTAAAAAGGCCTTGATCTCATTAAGGAGACAGCATCCCTAATGACCTAATTACCTCCAAAAGTTTCTACCTCTTAATGCTATCACATTGACAAGACCTGAATTTTGGAGGGGACACATTCAAACTACAGCAATAATAAGAAGCTTAGCAAATAATATTTATTCACTATTTGTTTTATTTAATATTTTATGTATTTGAAAAGATGATTAAAACAAATGCTCATATTTAATTGCACAAAAGGATAATAATAGAGAAAGTGATGGTTTGCTTCTTAAAATCATTTGGATATGAGGCCAACTTCATCAAGGTCATTAAAATTTTTGAAGTCTTAGAATCTGAGGCTCTAAAATAGCAGAATGAATACTGCTCTTGGATTCATGGTTCAAAGAAGTTATTACACTGCTTCTGATGCTACAGATTTAACAACAGTTAGTAGATATGTGCAATTTCACATGGACTAGACATCAAGAGACCAATTTGTGTGCATATAAACTAAAATTTGAAAATGAATATATTGAGATAATAAATTATTGAACTATATAACAAATACAAATTTGTTGACAACTTTGCAGAGAAGGCAATGGTATTAATAAAGAGCAGTCTTTTTCATCATTCTCAAAAATTCTTCCTCATTAATTCCTCCATCTCTATCATTATCAGCTTCATCAAACATTTCCTGTAAAACAAAATGTACATATTTAGAATCTGTTTTTTTTTATTAATGAGCAGTGAGTATTTAGCCTAGCAGTTAATATGCCCAGATCTCATGTCAGAGTGCCTGGGTTCAATTCATGACTCTGGATCCTAATTCTAGCTTCTCATCAATATGGACCCTGGGTGGCAGTGGTGATGGCTCAGATAATTGGGTCCCTGACACCCATGTGGGACACTTGGGTTATGTTCCTGGCACCTGCTCTGACCCCGCCACAGCCCCAGCCATTGTAGGCATTTGGGCAGTGAACCAACATTTGAGAAATTGCTCTCTCCTTCCTTCTCTCTCTCAAATAAATTTTTAAAATTTTTAATGAATAATGATATACATTAACATTTAAATATAAAATCAAACCAAGTTTTATCTTATGAGTACATATAAGCTAAATTTAAAATTATGTTATATAAATTATAAGAATAAAGAAAATTTACCTTAAGCTCATCATCTGTTAAATTTTCCCCTAATTCCTTGGCAACTCTCTTGATAGTGTTTAGTGTTATGCACCCAGTATTATCATCATCAAATAATTTGAAAGCCTTCAACATTTCTTCTTTATCATCTTTTTTACTCTTTAAATCAAAAACAGTTGTCATTAGTCTTTCATTTGTTTAATCTATCAAGATGGACTTATAATGTCTTTGAGGTCAAGAGTAACCAGGAAGCTGAATTCTTGTTTTATTTATTGCTTAGACTTTTAGCAATTATTCCAGTGCACTCACATTTGCCCTTCAAGCTATTTAAACACCAGGTTTATTGAAATAGGAAACACACAGAATAGTTAAGAGAATGAATACAAGTCCACACAGCAGACTCATAGAATGACAATCACTTTAACACTCTGACCTCTGAATCAGCCCTTAAGGCTTCCTGGTCTGGCTGAAAAGCCCATGAGAGCATTTCAGGCACAGAAAGTCAAGACACTGTAGCAAAAAAAATATTCTACATGAAGGATCTCTGTGAGTGAGACCCCGGTAGAAAAAAAGTGGCCATCAAAGAAAGATGTACTTTTCTCTAAAGGGAGGAGAGAACTTCCACTTTGCTTATGGCCTTGTCCAAATAAGGAGTTTGTGGACTCAAAAGGCTTCCATAGCCTAGGCAGCTCATGTCAAGAGCCTCGGGTGGTCACTGACGTCATACATAAGAGTATTAATTGTTAAATTAATAACAGGAGTCACTGCACTAACTCCCCATGCAGGACCTCTGTTTTACTGAGTTGTATTATGAGAATTAAAACTAGTTCTCAAACAGTTTTGTTTGTGTGTGTGTATGTGTGTGTGTGTGAAAATTGTTGAAATCTTTATTTAGTATAGAGTTGGTCTTCTGTGTACAAAGTTCATTGAAAATGAATCTTAATGGAGAATGGGACTGGCAAGGGGAGAGGAAGGAGATGGAGGGGTTGGAGTGTGGGAGGAAGGGCAGGTATGCTGGGAAGAATAACTATATTCCTCAAGTTTTACTTGTTAAATTTGTATCCTTAAAAATAAATTAAAAAAAATAATAATTAAAAAAAAAAAAAGAGAGAGAATGCATCCCTTGTGAGTCCTAGTAATTCAGATCTATTACCAAAAATGGTAAGCTCCAAGAGAACAGGAAGGTTGTCCTACTCAATGTTCCTTAGAAAAGGACCTGGCAAAAATAGGTGCTTAATATATGTGTGTTGAACAGAAGGCTTCAAAATTCAGGCTCCATTCTCTCTATCATGCCATATAATCTCCATATGTCCTGAAAACCCCTTCCTCCACACCAGACTTCTCATTACATCTTTAATCTTGCTATTCCTGTCTATGTAAATCTCACTCATCCATAAAGACAGAGTTCCAATTCCTCCTCAGTGAGACCTGATTGCCCCAGCTCCAAAATATAGAAAGCTATTATAGCTTATATTACTTTGAAAATCATAACAATACCATTTTTACACTCATAATGGCAAAAAAGTCTTCAAAACCAATGGTGTCAATTCCTCCCTTGATGAGCTCAGATATTTGTTTAATTTCTTCTGCTTTTAGTCCAAATCCTAAGGTCTGAATTGCAATCTGAAATAAGAAGGAAATAAATTTTAATAAATCTTTGTAACTACCTACTAATTAATAGCCTATCTCTCTTTTTATCCACAGACTGAGCATAAACCTAGACAACCAGGTCAGCAGTCCTAGGTTCCAATCCTACTGTGCCACAAGGTATATCATTGTTACACCCTGGGCTTTGACCTACTCCTTTATAAAACACAACTAAAATGTATAACAAGATATTATTTCGTTTATCCAAGGCAAGTCTAGGGCTAAAGATCTTTTATTTCAAACTTTCAGAAGATGACTATTAAAGCTTTAATGATTGCCACAAATAAATAATATGATTTTTACATGCTTTAGAATTGGAATTAAGAACCTTAAGTTGCTTCATATCTATGGTTCCAGACCCATCAGCATCAAATAAATCAAAGACATTTTTAATCAGTTGCTTTTGAATTTCATTCAATTCAATTTCTGCTGCTCTTCTCTTCCATTCATCCGAAAATGTGCCATAGCCGGATGCCTGTAATATACATGCATACAGGTGAAAGAAACTATACAACCAGACAAAGTTACCAGAACCAGAATAATTGATAATGGTCTAAACTCTAACAGATAAATATATTCAAGTATGCCACTTCCTACTAAATCATCCTGTACAATCTTCTTCGTCTTCCCTTGTGAATTTTGAGAATTATTAATGTCTTGGTGGAATGCCTGTTTCTTTTTCACCACTTAGGCTTTTCTGTAAAATTAAGGCCTTTTTGAGAGGGATAAAAGGCAAAGGAATACTTGCTAGAACAGTGGATGCTGTCATGTCAGAATACAGAAAGCCTTGCTTGGTACATCTGAAAAACAGTTGTCTAAGGAATATTTACTTTCATATATGCCTGTTTGTATCATTACAAAATGTTCTTATTTTGTTGATATGCTTCATTGGAACACAGTATCCTTCCTTTCTTCTACCAAGCTGTCCCAAACTACATGGGCCAAAAAGTGAAAACCACGTTTTCCCAGGGAAAAGTTATCCCATGGATCAGGATAAGAGTGTTGGGCTGCTAGTGTTGTAGTATAGCAGGTTAAGACACTGTCTGCCATGCTGGCAGCCCATATAGCATGGGTTTGAGTCCCAGCTGCTCCACTTCCCATCCAGCTCCCTGCTAGTGTACCTGGGAAAGCAGCAGACGATAGCCCAAGTGCTTGGTTCCCTGTCACCCATGTGGGAGACCCCAATGGAGTTCCGGGCTCCTAGCCTTTGGGCCATTTGCAGTGAACCAGCACATGGAGGTTGTCTAAATAAATAAATAAATAAATTCAAGGGGAAAAAAGGATGTTGGGCCAACTATAACTATCCACCTGATTTTTGGAAGGTGGAACTCAAATTCCTGCTATTTGCTATTTTCAAGCAAGCAAGGGCACAGAGTTATCCCTTGAACTCTTCTGCCACCTTATTTCCGTATCTTGTCTCCAGCTTGAGGTTAAGGATCCGTGGTGGACTCTGCGTTTCTCTGTGGGTCTGAGTTGCCAGTTCTACCTGTATTAAGAGTTAGTCATGGCAGCTGCGCACTCGCAGTTCCTGGACTGCAGGTACTGCTGGTGTGAGCTTCTGCTGAACAGTTCCAGTTGCAGCCACCCGAATCCTCACCTTCCCAACAGCAGGCGAGCCAGGAGCACCCCTGGCCAGTTTGTCAGTGTTCTACGGCCTGAGGTTCCTGCAGGCCCCGTCTGGTCTGCACCCCAGAGCCTTCAACAGTTTTGAAGCATCTTATTCTCTTATTCAGTTCCTCTCTGGCTAAAGAGCGGTTCCTGAACCTACTGTAGAGTGTTGATACTGTAGCGGTTGACGGGATTGATGGAGGAAAATATTAACCTGAGAGCCCCCTTATGTGTCAAGAGTTACGGAAAATGCTCTTCCATTTGCTGGCATAAGGTGGGGGGTACCGTGAAACGCAAGCTTTTAAAACATTTCATGAACTAAACAAAATCCCTTCCTTGCTGTTGGGGGGAAAGGGCTTCCATCTCAGTCCTAGCTCCAACCGCAGCAGGAGGCTATAGCTTTGCACTCACCATGTCCTCAGCCTGCACCTTTGGACAGAGCCTCCGGCCTCACCCACCCGCAGCACTAACCACAACCTCCGTCTCCCACTCTAGGAAGCCGTTGCTAAGGCCGCTGTCACGAACTCTCCTGCAGCCCCGCCCACCAGGCCCTGCTGATTGACATCCATTTTACCCAATAAAAAGCAAAGATGGCCTTGAGGCCCGCCCCCTCTCTCTACCAATAGCGACTCCAGCCCTTCCCGGCCCGCCCCGGAGCGGAGCGGAAAGTTCCCCTGCCGGGTTTCCTAGCGACGGCCAACCACGCCGCCAGGTCGCCCCCTTCGCACATGCGCAAACTGCCTCCGGGAAAGGGCGCTCCTTCATGCCGGCGTTTTGGTGTCCCTGACCCATTCAGGACAGCGTCTGCAGTGTGGCAGGCCAACCACTTTATCACCTCGTTGGAATGGAGCAGGAGCGAGGTTAGTAGCGAGGTGCTTTCACCAAGTCACTGCCTAAGACGTGCGGAGTCCTTGTTTGCTTTTCTGGCCTCCTTGGGCCTGGGAGTACTGGGCCAGTGTCCATCCGAGAGCAATAGAGGTGGAAGGGACTGCGCTTTCTTTGCGTCGCTAGATATTCCTCAGCCTCCACAGTGCCTGGGGCTTAGCCGTTGGCCTCGTCCCTGGTTCAGGGATTCTGGCATGGGAGGCTCCCAGATGTGTGACTAGGAGGGGTGTGGAGCCGTGGTGTGACTGAAGGAAGTGGGTGTGGGATAAGATGGATCTCAGGATGCACGAGAAGCATCACTGCACAGGAAGGAGCTTTACCTGTGCTGTAGTGTGGTCGGGGTGGGGCTTCCGCTCCACTGGTTAGAGCCGCGACACCCGGTAATAATCTAGGATAATATCTAGGACACTGGTAATAATCTAGGATAATATTAAATCCAGGTATTCTTAATCTATTTAATGCTTTCTATAAGTCGTGCTCTAAGCCAGCTAGTGGGTGAATTTGAAAGAAATCAAATATAGATCATAACACTGAGGGAGCAAGCATTTGGCATACAGTTAAGACTCCCACGTCCTATATCAGTGAGCCTGTGATCCAGTCACACCTCGGCTTCTGATCCCAGCTTCTGCTAATGTCCATCCTGGGAGGAAGCAAGGATGGCTCAAGTGTTGGATCCCTGCCCTACATTTGGAAGACCTACATTGAGTTCCCAGCTCCTGGCTTCAGCCTGGCCCTGCCCAGCTGATGGTGGACACATCTGGGGAGTTGAACTAGTGAGGGGAGATCTCTCTCTGCCTCTCTACTAATTAATTAATTAATTAGTTTTTTAAAGATTATAAATAAAAGATGAATAAAAATCAAGGAACCCACAGATTAGCTGGGGGAGTTAGACACAAGCATAGGGACTGGTGGCGCTGGCATCCCATATGGGTACTGGTTCCAATCCCGGCTACTACTCTTCTGTCCCAGCTCCCTGCTGATGGTCTGGGAAGGCAGCTGAAGATGGCCCAAGTCCTGGGACCTGCACCCATGTGGGAGACCCAGAAGAAGCTCCTGACTCCTGGCTTTGGATAGATGCAGCTCTGGCCATTGCAGCCAATTGGGGAGTGAACCATCAGATGGAAGCCCTCGCTCTCTCTCTCTTTTTCTCTGCCTCTCCTCTCTCTGTGTAACGCTGGCTTTCAAATAAATAAATAAATCTCTTTAAAAAAAAAAAAAAAAAAGAAAAAGTGCTTCAGGAGCACAGAAAGTTAGGACTACTCGCTGGGCTATAGAAGACTCTGGAAAATGTGGCTCTGCCTTGGTTTGTAGAAGATAGATACCACCCATGGAGCTGAAGAAAGGAAAGTATATGCAAATCAGCATAGTATGTGCAAAGGTAAAAGAAATGATATATTCTAAAATGGCAAGATCATGAGGTTTATAGGGAAAGGTGGAAGATGAGTCTTAAAAATCAAGGTAAGATTATAGAACAAGCTAAGGAGTGAAGACTCCATGTTCTAAGATAAATCTTTTGGCAGCGGGAGTACTCTGATTAGGTTTGTACTCTTTCAGAGAATTCTGACAACTGTGTGAAGGAGGAATTCTCTTTGAAAGCAGTTAAGGGGCCTCAAAAAAGGAAGTGCCAAGTAGGAATCATGTCAACTACAAAGGTGGTTGAACTTTGTGTTCCAACTGAAGGAATACAGACGATGACATCTCTTTTATCTTGTTTCGGTTTTGTACGTAAATTTGGAGTAATGTACAGATAAAACCAGTCATTCTTTTTTTTTTTTTTAAAGATTTATTTATTTATTTGAAAGTCAGGGTTACACACAGAAAGAGAGGCAGAGACAGAGAGAGAGGTCTTCCATCTGCTGGTTCACTCCCCAATTGGCTGCAACCGCCAGAGCTGCACCGATCTGAAGCCAAAAGCCAGGAGCATCTTCTAGGTCTCCCACTCGGTTGTAGAGGCCCAAGGACTTGGGCCATCTTCTACTGCTTTCCCAGGCCACAGCAGAGAGCTGGATCAGAAGTGGAGCAGCCGGGACCCGAACCGGCGCCCATATGGGATGCCGGCACTGCAGGCAGGGGCTTTACTCACTATGCCATAGCGCCAGCCCCAAAACCACTCATTCTTCATGCATTAAATATTTGTTGAGTGCCTGCAATGTGTCAGGCAATATTCTGTTTACCTGGGATACCTCAGTGACCAAAGTTTCCCACCTGGGAATTATATTCCGACAGAGAAAGGTAGTCCATAGATAGTAAGCAAATAAACAAACTATGAAATATTATATAAGATGATAAGTTATATAAAAAAAGAAAGCAGAGAAGATAAAGGAAATTTGGCATGTAAGGGGAAAAAGTAGTTGTGGTGTTCAATAGGGTGTTCAGGGTAGGCTTCATTGAAAGGGGAAATTTGGAGAAAATGTTTGAAGGTGATGAGACAATGGGTTCTTGGGTGAAGAGCATTCCAGAAAGAGGGAACCAGTAGAACAGAAACACCTTTAAGGCAGGGAGCCAAAGAGATCAAGGAGTAGAGCAGTAAGAGACAGAGGCAGCGGGCGCAGATTATTAGGGCATCTTAAGGATTTCTTTTATTTTTTTATTTTTTTTATTTTTATTTTTTGACAGGCAGAGTGGACAGTGAGAGAAACAGAGAGAAAGGTCTTCCTTTTGCCGTTGGTTCACCCTCCAATGGCCGCCGCAGCCGGCGCGCTGCAGCTGGTGCACCGCGCTGATCCGATGGCAGGAGCCAGGAGCCAGGTACTTCTCCTGGTCTCCCATGGGGTGCAGGGCCCAAGCACCTGGGCCATCCTCCACTGCACTCCCGGGCCATAGCAGAGAGCTGGCCTGGAAGAGGGGCAACCGGGACGGAATCCGGCACCCTGACCGGGACTAGAACCCGGTGTGCCGGTGCCGCAAGGCGGAGGATTAGCCTACTGAGCCACGGCACCGGCATCCCCAAGTGTTTTTAATCCATGCTTGGTTGAATCCCTGAGTACAGAACCCACGAATATGGAGGACCAACTTAGTTGGATAAAAGACTGGTATTCAGAGTATAAAGAACTGTTAACAAGTCAACAAAAAGACTAACAATCCCATCATAAGATGGGCATTTCTCTAAAGATAAACAAATAGTCAGTAAGCACATTAGAGGAAGGCCAACATCATTTGTCATTAGGAAACTGCAAGAAATCCAAACTGGAATCAGATATCTCTTCACATCCACTAGGTTGCCTATAACTTTAGAAGAATAGAGTGTTGATTATAATGTGTTGAATAGTATTCATTCACCCCCACAAAATTCATGTCCTCCTAGAATCTCAGAAGGTAATCTTATTTGAAAATTGGGTTTTTATGGATTTAAATAGTTAAGATGAGATACTGGATTAAGGTGAACCCTAAATTCAGTGATGAGTATTGCTGGATTATAAGAAGAACATGTAAAATAGAAGTAGAGATTGCAGTTACATAAACAAAAGCCAAGGTCTTCCAGGAACAGTTAGAAACTTGAAGAGGCAAGGAAGGATTCTTTCCTAGAGCCATTTGAGGGAGCGTGGCTTTTCCAGTATCTTGATTTCAGACTTCTAGACTCCAGAACTCTAGAGAGAATAAATGTATATTGTTTTAAGACACCAAGTACATTGTGATAATTTGGTATGGCAGCCCTAGAAAACTACTAAGGTAAAAATGTAGAGAAACTAAAACTCTTATACATTGGTTTGTTTTTTTTGTTTTGTTTTGTTTTGTTTTGTTTTGTTTTGTTTTTTTATTTATGTGAAAGAGAGAGCTCTTCCATCCGCACATGGTATTCCTTCCCTAAAAGGCCTCAACAGCCAGGGTGGGCTGTGCTGAAGCCAGGAGCCTAGAATTCCATCTGAGTCTCCCACATGGGTGGCAAGAGCCCAGTCACTTGGGGATGGTGCTCATATGCACATGGTTTTCTAGGCACATTGGTAGGGAACTGGATTGGAAGCAGAGCAGCCTACCAGTGCTTCAGTATAGGATGCCAGCGTTGCAAGCAGTGCCTTAACCCTCTGTGCCATGGCACCAGACCCACCTTTGTACATTGTTGATGGGAATGTTCAGCTGTATGGAAAACAGTCTATCACTTCCTTTAAAAGTTAAACCTATGGTATAGGAATTTGGTACAGTGGTTACAACATTACTCAGAATGCCTGCATCCCATACTGTAGTGCCTGATTCAAGTATGATTCTGCTTTTAATTCAGCTTCCTACTATTGCGCACTCTGGAAGGCAACAGTGATGACTCAAGTACCTGGGTCCCTGCCACACATGTGGGAGACCTAGGTTGAATTTCTAGCTGTTGGCTTTGGCCGGTCACTGACTTCATCTGGTTCAGCCTTGGCTGTTACAGGAATTTGGGAAGTGAGCCAGCGGATCTCTGTCTCTGTGCATCTCAAATAAAAATGAAAATAAATAAGAAATAAAAGTTAAACATAGAATTATCATATGATTCAACAATTTCTTTTTTTTTTAAAGAATTTATTTATTTTAGAGGTAGAGTTACAGACAGAGAGAGGGAGAGACAGACAGAGAGGTCTTCCATCTGTTGGTTCACTCCCCAGATGGCCTCAATGGCCAGAGCTAAGCTGATCTGAAGCCAGGAGCCAGGGCTTCTTCCTGGTCTCCCATGCAGGTCTTGGACCATCTTCTGCTGCTTTCCCAGAGAGCTGGATCAGAAGAGGAGCAACTGGGACTAGAACTGGCAGCTATATGGGATTCCGGTGCTGCAGATGCAGGCTTAGCCTACTATGCCACAGCACTGGGCTGATCCAACAGTTTCATTCCTAGGCCTTTACCCGAAAGAACTGAAAGCACATATGCAAATATATACACCAAGGTTCATAGAAACACTATTCACAATAGCTAAAGGGTGGAAACAACCCAAATATCCATTAATGGAAGCCATTGATAAACGAAATGTAATCTATACAGAGGAAGCTTTACTCTAAAAAGGAATGAAGTACTGATATATACCATGGCATGCATAGTGTGAAATATTATGCTAAGTGAAAGACACAAGAGGTCACATGTTATATAAACTATCAATAATAAAGAAAGCCAGATATTCAGAAAGCAGAGTAGTAGCTGCTAGGGGCCAAAGGAGAATGGAGTGGAGAGTAACAGCTTAATGGCTATGGGTTCCATTAGAGGTAGTAGTTGTACAACATTGTATATGTACGAAATGCCACTAAATTATGCACTTGGTGCACCTCAGTTTTAAAATAGACATAAACCGTATATTTTTTTGAAAAAAAAATATAGAATAATAAATGTTCTACTCAGGGACAAGCAAAACTTTGTTACATAAAATACAGAAAGTAATGACCATAAAGTAAAATTGTACAAAAAGATAAGTGCTAGGAAAAATGGGTTGCCAGACAGTATTAAGAGACTACCTGAGGTTTGGGATCATAAACCTGGAATGATACCAAGGAGCATGCTCGTGTGATGTTTTTGTCCATTTTCTTCTCTACCAGGGAAGGCATGAAGTAAACAGAATTGTGTTTCATCCAGATTTAGTTTGGATATAAGTATGGGGCAAAGGATTTGGGTAATCTTCGAGTAGGAAGAGAGGTTTAAACTATTTGTTTATTTGAAAGGAAGATCAACAGAGAGAGGACTAGACAGGGACTGAAATCTTCCATCTGTTGGTTCACTCCCCAAATGGCCACAACAACCAGGTCTGGGCCAGGCCAAAGCCAGGGGCCAGGAACTCCATCCTGGTCTCCCACGTGGGTGACAGGAACACAAGTACTTGGACCATCATCATTGTCTTCCAAGTGTATTTGCACTGGAAGCTTAGCAGCTGGGACTCGAACTACATGGCAAGTGGTGGTTTAATCCACTGCACCACAATGCCAGCCCCAAGAAGTTTATGTTATCTATAATATTTAAATAGCAGGGAGCTTATACCTCATGAGGCAGATAATTTTTTTTAAAGATTTATTTCTTTACTCAAGAGACAGAGTTACAGAGAGGTCTTTCATCCAGTGGTTCACTCCCTAAATGGCCGCAATGGCCAGAGCTGGGCCAATCTGAAGCCAGGAACCAGGAGCTTCTTCTGGGTCTCCCACACTGGTTCAGGAGTCCAAGCACTTTGATCATCTTCTACTACTTTCTCAGGCCATCAGCAGGGAGCTAGATCAGAAATGGAGCAGCCCGGATTTGAACCAGCACCTATATGGGATGCTGGTGCGAGAGACAAATGCTTAACCTACTTTGCCACAGCGCCTGCCACCCACATAGGAGACCAAGAAGAAGCTCCTCTCTCCTGGTTTTGGCCTGACCCAACCTTGGCTGTTGTAGCCATTTGGAGAGGGAACCAGCAGATGGAAGATTGATCTCTCTGTCTCTCTCCTTCTCTCTCTGTATCTCTGCCTTCCAAATAAATAAATCTCAAAAAACCAAAAAGTCCAATTAAGTATTAAATCCAATAGTACTGCTTTTTTCTTTTGAAATTTATTCAATAACAAAAATCTATCCTTTCCCTCCCATCCCTTCTTCATATTTCTCATTTAAATAACTATAGAATATTTTTTTAAAAAAAAGATTTATTTGTTTGAAAAGCAGAATTACAGAGAGAAAAGGAGAGACAGAGAGATCTTCATGTGCTGGTTCACTCTCCAAATGGCTGTAATGGTCAGGCCAAAGCCAAGAGCCAGGAGCTTCATCCAGGCCTCCCATATGGGTTCAGGGTCCCAAGGACTTGAGCAACTGTTTGCTGCTTTCCCAGGTGCATTAGCAGGGAGCTGGATCAGAAATGGAGCAGCTGGGACTTGAACCAGTGCCCACATGGGATGCCAGTGTCGCAGTTGGCAGCTTAACCCTCTATGCCACAGCAGCAGCCCCTATAAAAGATTCTTAATTGGCCTCTCCCCCTCCAATATGGTGCTCGTTCATTCATTCCCCTACACTGATATCAGAGTGGTAATGTATCCAAACATTGTTATTATTATTTTAAAAAGTACTCAAAAAACACTGTGTACCTGGCACTGCTCTAAGCATTATACCCATTCCTCAAAATAATCCATGAAATAGAATTTTTTATTATCCCCAGTGGAAACTGAAGGGCAGAGTAGTTAAATAACTGCTGAAAGCTACAAAGGTAGTAAGCTGTAGAGCCAAGTTCAAACCCAGACTTCTAGATTAAGAAGTATATCACATTGTTTCTAGCCTTCACTTACAGCAGTTCTATGGCTCCCCTTCCAAGATCAAGGTTAACCTTCCTGACATGACACAAAATATCTTTCATGATCCAGCTTCTCTCCTCTTCCAGAGCTTCATCTCTTACTACATTCTCCCACTACATTCATTATATTCCCATGAAAACAAACCATGTGTTATTACTCCCAAACCACTGTGTTTTTTCACATAGATGTGAATTTACTACTATCTCCTTCAATTTGCTGACCCTTTAAAGTATTCTTCAGTACTCATTCCAGGGATTGCCATCTGCGAACATTGCTTGTGGCCTGTGTGTTCCCACTCCCTTGTTGAACTAAGTTCCTCTTCCTGTTCCTCCTCTAGGGCCCCATTTCATTAATGTTATTCTGTATCATCACATTGAACATATTTAATGGAATTTTATGTACCTCAGAGTCAAGGGCCATGTGTTAAATTTCTTTCTATATAGCATTTATAATCATGGATTATACTGAATAAAGTTCCACATTTTTATCTTACTTGCAGATGATTCATGGTGATGGCTTACAGGGTCATAAACACAAGAAGGCATGTGGGACTGCAACAACTCTCGTCACTAGCAGAAACAGGAAGAACTTTCCTAGGCCCAGTAAAAGCATCCAAGTTTGTTGTAGATGAACAGTGTCATGAAAGTGTGCTAATCAGCTCAACAGTACGGCTTCTTGAAAGTTTGGATTTAAGCAGTGCAGTGGGACAACTTCTCAATGAAGCAGTTCAAGCACAGAATAGCACATATAGAACTGGAACCAGTACTCTTTTGTTTCTTGTTGGTGCATGGAGTCATGCTGTTGAAGAATGTCTCCATATAGGTGTCCCCATTCCCATAATAGTGTCAGTGATGGCAGAAGGTTTGAATTCTTGCTGTGAAGAGGTAGTTTCCCTTCAAGTACCTGTCCACAATATATTCGACCACATGGACAACACAAAGACATTTTCGGGAATTGAAACATTTAGTATTAGTTTGTCACCTTTTCTGCAGGTCCCCGCAGACACTGGTTTGGTACAGGAAAAGCACGACCTCAAAGGTGTTGCCTGTCAATCCCCAAGCATTTACAATCTTTCTGAGGCACCTGTGAAGTCACCTAAATTCTTCAAGACTCAAGCTAAGGTTGAAGATGATGAAGGCAAATCACAAGCTCTGAAAGACAGGCTGCTCGCACACACCTGCTGTAGAAAGTCAGTATTAATCCACAGTAGGCATTTTAATAGGACAGATCATCAGTGGACTCACAAGCCAGATGGATCTGTAGAAGATGGTGCATCTACTCCTAAAGCTTACAGATGTGAAGGTCTGATAGAGTTGGCAGCGGGCTTGAGTCACGGAGATCACAGCAGCATGAAATTAGTAGAAGCAGCCCTGCGGCTGCAATTTCAGAATGCATGTATGCAGCGAGACAACCCTACAGTGCCATTTATGTTTGACATTTCAAGAATCTTCACTTGTTGTCTGCCAGGTTTACCTGAAACTTTTTCATGTATTTGTCCAGGATACATCACTCTTGTGTCTGTGTCAACTACTACCGTGATCAAAGCATTGCAAAATCAGCCAGTCCGACTAGTTCTCATTGAGGGTGACCTCACAGAGAATTATCGCCATGTAGGATTTAATAAGTCTGCAAATATTAAAACAGTCTTAGATAGCGTGAAGCTTCAAGAAGATAGCTCAGAAGAACTATGGATAAATCATGTATTACAGGTATTAATCCAATTTGATGTGAACCTCCTCCTGGTCCAAGGAAAGGTGTCTGAACAGTTAATTGAAAAGTGCATACACAATAAGCGGTTGGTAATTGGGTCAGTGAATGTCAAGGTGATGCAGGCTTTCGCAGAGGCTGCAGGAGCAGTACAGGTGGCTTATCTCACCCAAGTGAATGAAGACTGTGTGGGCGAGGGGGTCTCTGTGACCTTCTGGAGTAGTCCTGTGGATATTGTAGATGGGAGCAACAGAATGGCAGTTGTGTTAAAAACAGAAGGAATTAATTTGGTCACAGCAGTCCTCACTAGCCCAGTCACTGCACAGATGCAAGCCAAAGAAGATAGGTTCTGGACTTGTGCCTATCGTTTGTATTATGCGCTAAAAGAGGAAAAAGTATTCCTTGGAGGTGGTGCAGTCGAATTTTTATGTCTTAGTCATCTTCAAATTCTTGCAGAGCAATCTCTGAAAAAAGGAAACCATGCCTGGTCAGGTTGCCTTATTAATACCTCCTCTTGGTTAGCGTCGTCTCTGCCAATATATAGACCAACTGTGCTTAAATGCTTGGCAAGTGGATGGCACAAATACCTTTCAACTCTTGTATATAACTCTGCCAATTACTCATCACAATTAGAAGCCAGCTCATTCATTCAGCATCATCTACAGAATGCCAAAGATTCAGGCTCTCCTTCATCGTATGTCCTGAATGAGTATAGTAAGTTAAATAGTGGCATTTTTAATTCAGGTGTTTCAAATAAACTGGAGCAGATTCCAAGAGTTTATGACATCGTTACACCAAAGATTGAGGCATGGCGCCGAGCACTGGATTTAGTACTGTTAGTACTTCAGTCAGACAGTGAAATTATTACTGGACTTGGACACACGCAAATAAATCCACAGGAATTAGAGGGCTTTTTATTTTTGTAGTATTAAACTAATAGGAAATATAACATCTTGTGATTTTTAATGCTAATAATAAATGTACTTATTAATAGTCAAGTTATAGTGCCTAAAATAACAGTATTACCAGGAAGAGAACATTTGTTGTTGTAAATGTGCAGGCTCTGGGATTTTTATCCTACTTAGGAGCTAACAAGTTAGCCTATGACAATTTCATGGGGTGCAACAGAATACACAGGCACCTTGGTCAGAAACAAAGGGCTTTTATTATTCACAGCAAAGACGGTAGCCAGAGCTTCATATTGATTTGCATATACAATAAGTATACCAGGATGCTCAGAGCCCATAGTAGATAGCCTTTCTGACAGTTCATGTCCTTTTGTATTGGGCTGGGGTTGGCAGAAGACCCAGTGAGATAATCTAGGGAATAAAATCCCTGAAAATAAATGTAATCTTGACAGTAGAGATAATTGACCTCTGGGAAACAGAGAAAGAAAATCTTTCCAAGCAAACTTGATCTTGATAAGCAGAGAAAAGCTACATAGAAAAGGCTATACTTTTCAGTACTTCATCAATAATAGGCAAGAGCCCTGGCCCATTCCCTGCCTCCACAAGAGTCCCCTCTTAATAGTTCTATAGAAATCCCAATAATTTGAACAGGAGGAAAAGAGAAAAGCCACTTAATGACTTAGTAAAAGAAACAAAAAAGATTAAAGCAGACTGTCTTAGTCCTTTTGGGCTGCTATAACAAAATGCCACAGACTGGGTAATCTGTAAAGAATAGCTTTGGAGAATGGGAGTCCAAGATCAAGGTGCTGCTATTTGGTGTGGGTTTTCTTAGTCTTAGGTGGTAGAAAGCTGAAGTCCAAAAGAGTAAACTCACTACAGCAAGTCCTTTTTGTAGCAGCATTAATCCAGGCATATGAGCAAGAGACCTCATGATCTAAACATCTGCCACCTCCCAACACTGGTAATGTGGATTAAGCTTCCAACACATGAACTTTTGTAGGGACAAAAACATTCCAACCATAGCACAAACCAAACCATACTCCAGCAGACAATGAAAACACCAGAAAAAAAAAAAATTGTAGGCAGACAGCAGGTGAAAATTCATGTTTTAGAGGTAGGCAGTTAACACAGCATCCACATCCCATATTGGAGTGCCTAGGTTTGAGTTTCTGCTCCATTCTCCATTCCAGCTTCCTGCTAATGCATACCCTGGGAGATACCAGGTCATGGCTCAAGTACTTGGGTCCCTGCTGCACATACAGGAGACCCAGATTGAGTTCTAGGCTCCTGGCTTCAGCCTAGCTCGCTTGCTCTCTCTGCCCCTTCTACCTCTGTCTCTCTGCCTTTCAATTGTTTAAAAAAAAAAAAAAAAACTGACTTTAAAATCATTTAAATGAAGTTTTCAAAAGAACAGCACAAGCCGGCGCCGCGGCTCACAGGCTAATCCTCCACCTAGCGGCGCCGGCACACCAGGTTCTAGTCCCGGTTGGGGCGCCGGATTCTGTCCCAGTTGCCCCTCTTCCAGGCCAGCTCTCTGCTGTGGCCCAGGAGTGCAGTGGAGGATGGCCCAAGTGCTTGGGCCCTGTACCCCATGGGAGACCAGTATAAGTACCTGGCTCCTGGCTTCGGATCAGCGCGGTGCGCCGGCTGCAGCGCGCCGGCCGCAGTGGCCATTGGAGGGTGAACCAATGGCAAAAGGAAGACCTTTCTCTCTGTCTCTCTCACTGTCCACTCTGCCTGTCAAAAAATAAAAAATAAAAATAAAAAAAAGAACAGCACAAGTTAGAAATGAACCTCTTTTTAAAGGATTATTTAAATGACCAAACTTTACAAAGCATTACTTACTTTCCTATGAGAGGCATGCTCCAAAACTTCAGTCATTAAACTTAGGGGCAGTTCTTGGCCCACTAGTGTGCGCTGTTGTTTTCAAAACAGGCTGGTTTAGTGAGGAGGAAAGCAATGGTGGGTTAAAGGAGTCCAGGATCTCACAGGGCAGCAATAATTGATGCCAGCATCACATGGCAGGGTTTCCATGATCATAGCTTTGCAGGCCCACAGACTTTTGTCCAGATAGCAGAAAGTAATCATCAGGAGAACTAATACTAACCAAAGTTAGAACTGTTGTATAAGCCAGTATGCCGGTTTCATATTATATGTAACACAACCACCAGAATATGGGATGCCAGCATCATAGATGGAGGCTTAACCTGCTGGGCCACAAAGCCATCCCCTGGGGAGCTTTTAAGGACTACTTATACCCTGACTGCATTAGTAGATATTAAATCAATTAGTCTGAGGTCAGGATGGCAAGCATTGGTATTTATCTGCAGTTCCCCAGGAGAGTATATTTTATAGTCAGGGTGGAGAACCATAGGCATAGAGGGATGATTTTTCCCTTTCTCAGGCCCTCCATCCCTGAGTGCACTTTATGCACTCTATTGTCATGGGACTGGGGCCTAGGCATCTGTATATTTCTTAAGATTTATTTCTTTATTTGAAAGGCAGAGTTACAGAGACAGGGAGATCTTCTGTCTGCTGGCTCACTCCCCAAATGGCCACAAAGGTGGGGGCTGGACCAAGCCAAAGCAGGAGCATGGAACACCATCTGGATCTGCCCTGTGGGTGTCAGGGGCCCAGGGACTTGGGCCATCCTCTACTGCTTTCCTAGGCACATTATCAGGGAGCTGGATCGGAAGCAGGGCAGCTGGAAAACCAGCGCCCATATGGTTTGCCAGCACTGCAGGCAGCAACTTAACTTGCACTACAAAGCCCACCCAGTGCAGTTTTTAAAAAAGCTTTAGGCCAGCGCCGCGGCTCACTTGGCTAATCCTCCGCCTGTGGCGCCGGCACACCGGGTTCTAGTCCCGGTCGGGGCACCAAATTCTGTCCCAGTTGCTCCTCTTCCAGTCCAGCTCTCTGCTGTGGCCCGAGAGGACAGTGGAGGATGGCCCAAGTGCTTGGGCCCTGCACCCACATGGGAGACCAGGAGAAGCACCTGGCTCCTGGCTTCAGATCAGCGCAGTGCGCCAGCTGCAGCAGCCGTTGAGGGGTGAACCAATGGAGAAGAAAGACCTTTCTGTCTCTCTCTCACTATCCACTCTGCCTGTCAAAAAAAATTAATTAATTAATTAATTAAAGCTTTATTTTTATTTATTTTAAAGACAGAGTTAGAGAAAGAGGGGTCTTCCATTTGCTTGTTCACTCCCAAATGGCCACAGTGGCGGGGGCTGGGCAACTTTGCAGAAATCTGAAAAATCATGCAACTAGACCCTGCTTGAGGAGGATGATATAGGAAAAGGGGTCAGAGATGAAAATTAGGAAATACAACAAATCTGTGTGTATGGTTTTATATGAAGCAACTTTAGTTCCTCAGACACCAGGAATGATCAGCCTTCACTCAGCAATCATCCTAAGAAAGCTTGCACCGTGCAAATTGTCAGTCATAAAACAGCTACCATCAGAGAGCACTTCCTCACGCCAGGCACGATGCAGACTGTTACAGGCGTTGGCACCTTCCACCTTTACAGTGGTCCTAGGAGATGGGCTCTTATTGTCTTCAGTGTACAGACAAACTAAGGCCCAGAGGTTAAGTCCCTTGCCCAAGCAAGTGAGGTGGACAGTCTCGCAGGAAACTCAGGAGGGCCCACTGAAGAGGGGCAGCTAACAGATAAGACAAGCTATTGGGGTGCAAAAGGAACATATTGGACTTTCTATTTTTTTTTTTTTATTTGACAGGTAGAGTTATAGACAGTGAGAGAGAGAGAAAGGTCTTCATTCCGTTGGTTCACTCCCCAAATGGCCACTATGGCTGACGCTGCGCTGATCCGAAGCCAGGAGCCAGGTGCTTCTTCCTGGTCTCCCATGCAGGTGCAGTGGCCCAAGCACTTGAGCCATCCTCCACTGCCCTCCCAGGCGACAGCAGAGAGCTGGACTGGAAGAGAAGCAACCGGGACTAGAACCTGGCACCCATATGGGATGCCGGTGCCGCAGGCAGAGGATTAACCCAGTGAGCCACGGCGCTGGCCCTTCTATTTATTTTTAACTTCTGTTTTAATTTTCATGTTATATAAATTACTTATCCTATTACTTTGGTAGGATATTTATTTTCTAATTTATAAATAACAAATGTGCATATGTTTTAGCACATGTTCTAAAACACTGAAGACTTTTTTTTTTAGATTTATTTACTATTAATTTAAAGGCAGAGTTACAGAGAGAGGGATATTCCATCTGCTAGTTTACTTTCCTTTTTTTTTTTGACAGGCAGAGTGGACAGTGAAAGAGACAGAGAGAAAGGTCTTCCTTTGCTGTTGGTTCACCCTCCAATGGCCCCCATGGCCGGCGTGCTGCGGCTGGCGCATTGCCCTGATCTGAAGCCAGGAGCCAGGTACTTATCCTGGTCTCTCATGGGGTGCAGGGCCCAAGGACCTGGGCCATCCTCCACTGCCCTCCCGGACCACAGCAGAGAGCTGGCCTGGAAGAGGGGCAACTGGGACAGAATCCGGCGCCCCGACTGGGACTAGAACCCCTTGTGCTGGCGTCGCAGGCGGAGGATTAGCCTATTGAGCCACGGTGCTGGCCATGGTTTACTTTCCAAATGGCTGCCGAGGCTGCACCAGGCTAAAACCAGTAGCCAGAAGCTTCATCCAGGTCTTCCATGTGGGTGGTAGAGGCCCAAGCACTTGGGCCATTTTCTGCTGTTTTCCCGGGCATTCGCAGGGAGCTGGATCAGAAGTGGAGCAGCTGGCATTTGAACTGGCACCCATATGGGATGCCAGCATCACAGGAGGTGGCTTAACCTGCTATGCCACAACACTGGTCCCCAAAGACCTCCTTCTTTAGAACTCATCTATACACAAATAACAAACACAATTACACAAATTCTGCATGTGGCAGAGTAAATACTGTTTTGATAGTATATGGTGTAATCTAAGGGGAAATATTCAATTCAAGGTGAAAATACATGAATTTGCTTTGCTCTACCTTCTACAAGTAAAAGTAAACTTCAAATTTAAAAGACAGATTTCAGTGTTGTGGTACAGTTGGCTGAGCTGCCACTTGAGACACCCATGTCCCTTATCTTGA